TAAAAAAATATCTTCAAAGTAGAAAAATATTTATAACATAATATTGAAATTAATAATAATTTAATATGTTATAAAATTAATAATGAAATTATTTAATAATATTATAAATTATGATTTTATGGATAACTAAATTCAATAAATAATTAATATTTTAAAATTTAAATAATTTACATATTATTTAAGTATTTAAATAACAAAATATTTAACATAAATAGATTTTAAATAGTTAAAATAAAGAAATTATGTAATAAATTTAAAAAAAATCATGAAAATTAGAAAAATAATTATAACATTATTTTGAAATTAATAATAATTTAATATTTTTACAAAATATTATAAATAACTAATTTCAATTATATCAAATAATAATTCGAGAAAATAACTTTCAGAAAATAATATTTATTTATAATAATTTTAAGCTCTTAATATGTTTTTATTATATAATTATGTATACTAAAATTAATATTTATTGTATTTCAGTAATTATTTATTGTTTTTTGTGATAATTGTATTTTTCATGTTTATGTATAAATTTATTTTGTTTTTCTATTTAACAAAAAACTTTTAATAATTATTGGAGATTAAACTACTGTTATTGAAAATTTTAAATTTAATTTATTATACTTATTGTATTTATTATATTTTTGTTATAACTTATTGATTAATTTTTATTAGATATTAAATTATTATTTGAGATTATACTATTTATTGCCTAAGTTAATATATTTTTAGTACTTATTGTATTTTTGTAATTTTTGTAATTATTGTATTTTTTAATTATCAATATATTTTCAATAATTGTGTATTTTTGCTATAAATTTTCAATAATTATTGGAGATTAAACTATTCTTAATTATTTATCAAAGATGAGACTATTAATTTAGCTGAAATTATGAGTGTTCATGAGTTGGTTCGGTTTGGTCATAGGCTCTTTGGCCAACCAAATTGACCTGGTTAGATTGGGGAGTTGGTCAGCTGAAACCGATTGACCTTTCGTGAAAACCGACCCACTCATGTTGTATCGGTTTGGATCGATTTTTTGGTTTGGTTAGTCGGTTCAAAAGATTTAAACTTAAAATTAAATTTTAATTTAAAAAATTATAGTGTAATTATTAAAAAAATAAATTTAAAAATTAGATTTATGATATAAAACATTTTAGACTAAGAAAGACGCAAAATTTCTCACTTTTCTATATTTAAAATATAAAATATTAATATATATATATGTATATATCCATGGTTAGGTCATTCGATTTTGGTTAATTTACAAATGGTCAAAGTGAAACTGATCCAACTTGGTTGAATTGAGAAAATTTTGAACAAAAACCAACCTAAAATACTAGAAAACCGAGCAACTCAAGTCGAGTTGATCGGGTTGGTTAGTTTCATTAGTTTGATGAATAAACCTAACTGAAATTAATTTTTGTTATTTTGTTTTATAAAAAATTATTAAAAGTAGTATATAAAATATGAATAATTATTAATTATTTACAAAGTTGAAAATATAAAACAATTGTATACTCTTATGTGTTTCTATTAGGGTCATTTACTAGAACACACCTTTAGGGATGGAAAATTTCCCCATCCCTGACGGGGACCCGATTTCCCCGACTCGATGGGGCCGAGAATGGGGATTGTTTTGGCAGAGTGGGACGAGGACGGGGAATAATAGGAATCCCCAGTCAGGGTCGGGGATGGGGATTGAGGTCCCTGCCCTGCCTCGACCCCAATTATATATATATTAAATGTTATTTATATTAAATATACTATTATATTATTTATATTATATATATAGATATATATCAAAACATATTTAAAACATTATTTATAATTTAAAAAATTTACTTATTTTAAATAGATTTATTTAAAAAATACTATTATCTAAAAACATTTTGGGGATTCGGGTCCCCATAGGGAACCCATCCCTATTGGGGATCGGGGATGGGGGTTAATTTCAAAATCGGGGTTGGGGAAGAGGAATATGATCCCTGCCCCAAACCTGCCCCATTGCCATTCCTACACACCTTATAGCTTTACATATTTACTTAAACCTATCTTATAGTTTCCATTTTACTAAAACATCCCATATATTTTACAACTTATTTACTTAATCAACCTTTCATTAAGGAGTGTTTGTTTTGCCATTAGACCTATGATTTTTTCTTCCAAAAATACCCTTAACACTTTTTTTTTGTATATAAAACAAAATTGACCAAATATAGCCAATAGAGTGGTTGCCCATGTCTTATTAAGGGCAAAAATGGTACTTCTTTTTTTCTTTTGATTAAATTTATTTAAATGAGCATTAGGGTCAACACTATCATTTTCTGCTGTCATCTAATGGAAGATTGATTAAATTCATTGCAAATTATAAGTGGTGTTTTAGTAAAATGATAACTATAGGGTAGATTTTAGTAAATCCATGAAACTATAAGAGGTATTTTAGTAAATGACCCTTTCTATTATTTAGCTTTTGCTTAATAAATCCCATGCATCGCACAGGTCCCCGCTAGTTGTAATTTAAAAGTTAACATAATATAATAATTGAGAGCTGATAAAAAATCCATTGACCATTGCATTGATAGGAGAGCTCAATATATTGGTCACTCAAGAAGGGTTTCTTATTAAATTGGGTAGTACGAAACTTGACATGGTTCTAGCATCTATAACAAAGTTTGTTAATTAGGATGTCTCCGCAACAACAGTTTCAATAATATATATACGAAAGGGGTGGTCTCTCCTTTCACCAAATGGTAGTAATTTAATTACTGTGATATCAGTGGCAATATTGTAATTTAGATAGTGTTAAGACTTATGACACTATTCGTTCGAGTACAAAGTGCTCGACAAAATTCGCCAACAAACAAATGCTCTGTGAATTTATTTATCTTATATATATGTATATGTATATACTGAATCCTGCTTTGGATTGATGCTAAATTCATGGGTAGGATGCAGTTTATAGGGGGTTGCAATTCAGATTTTTGAGGTGGATTGCAGTCCACTTATCCCTATATATTAAAGGGAAAGGGGTGGTCTCCCCTTTCGCCAAATGGCAGTACGGTTCAATAGTTCAATGAAAATTATAAGAACGGACATGGTTCAGGTCGACGGTTCTCAAATTACAAGAACGGATGGTTCAATGAAAATTCTTCATTGAAAATTCTCAAACTGTACCGGTTTATAAGATTATAAGATATATATAATCTTATATATCTTATCTGCCACCGGTTTTCGGGTTGACGATTCGATCGTCTGGTTCGAACAGATGGCTCGTTTTGACAACAAAAGTTAAAAAAAAATGGCCAAAAACCATTGAACGGGTCAACGGGTCGACTGTTCGATTGCCTGGATCAATGGGTCGTTGACCGATTCAATGGTTTTTGGCCAAGGACCGGGATTGGGATAAAATGGAACCGGTTGCCTAGACGGTTCCCAATTAAAAAAATAAAAAAAGGGCAAAAAAAACATTGAACGGGTCGACAATTTGACCGCTTGGGTCAATGGGTCATTAACCGATTCAACGGTTTTTGGCCAAGGATTGGGATTGGAGTAAAATGGAACCGGTTGCTTAGACGGTTTTCAGGTTGAAATGTCCATCTATCCAGATCAATGGCGGTTAAAAAACTATAATTTTTTTGTTTTTAGATTTTCATTATTCAAAAATTTCTTCTACTGTAAGAATATGTATGATATGACACAATTCCAATCTAACCCTTGCAGGGGCCGCTCCGCTAGTTTAAATGTATATAAAATAACAACAAGCACACGATGGATATTTTGTATTTTTCTTAGAGAAAATTCCTGGTTCCATCCATGATGAGGCACACGCCACACGACAAATGATCAGGTCCACTGCTTATTATAAACCCAGACCCCACACGTTTCCATGTCTAAATTGGAAGGCAGGACTTACCAATTGAGCAGTTTGATGAATGATCAAGTACAATTAGGTTGCGTTTGGATTGCAGGAGAGGGATAAATTTGAATGTTTTTTAATATTTTTTTGAATTCCACAATTCCAAAAGAAGGATGCAAAACGGATCGAATTGATTCTAAATTGCGGTATATCCGAATCCGGTCAGATCTTACAATTGTCAATTTGAACCCAAATTTGTTAAAGATGAGGGATATCCAAATTTGATCCAATTTAATTTCCGAAAAATTTAATAAATTATTAAAAGAAAAAGCATAACGGCTTATACAAAGAAAAACAAAAAATACAAATACTTTTTCAACTATTTTCTTATCGGGTAGAAAGGTGATCCGAATTCGATCCGATTTTTTTCAATTAGATTCTATTATCCGGTCCAAAAATCCAACAGGGGATATCCGAATCTGGCAAAAACAAGATTAGATTCGGATCAGATCATCATCCGGTCCCTTTGCACCCCTAAAGAGAAGCACCCAAACAATAAAAATTCATTAAATAAACAAATTCAATTTCAAATTCACCCTAACCCAAACGCAACCTTAGGGTAGGAGGGTACGATACATACCCTATCAAACAAAGTAAGTCGTTCCATAGTCAATCTAACTTAAGGCTCATTTTGTTATATTTGTTATCTTGCTGGTAGAACAACAATCCTTCAACATAAAATCCATGCAAATGGAAGGTGATCTGCAGTAACTCGCTGGTGATGAAGCTTCTTGATCGATTCATTTCCTCAAATATGACAAAACGCGAAGAGTACTACTTAGTCACTACTCATTACACGTATTCTCTTGCTTTTTTGCTTATTACAAATGGAAACGGGCACACTTCTCCATCGCAATTCAACAGTCAAGACTGTTTAACATTCCATCTAAACCACAATGAGCATCTAACAGTCAACTTATCCAGTGCGTCTCAGGATCGAGATCGCCCTTGTCTTGTCTTCCAGTGGCCGTTTGTGGTTTACGCGCCTCAAATCTCTAATTCAAGAGAGAGAGAGAATAAACCAGGAAAGTTCGTCCCAGTTTCCATTTCCATAAACTCCTCTTATAAAAGGGTCCAAGCTCAAAGCTCGAAGGGCGTGGTGAGTGTAGAAGGCAAAAACTACAGAAGGAAAAAGGAGATAGCAGGATATTCATTAGTGAAGGGAGAGATGGAAATAGAAGAACTGAGCAGCTCTCCTTCAACATTGCCCCTCCTGTCTCTCAACCATGTATCCTTTTTGTGCAGATCGATCAGCACTTCCGTCAGGTTTTATGAAGATGTGTTGGGCTTTGCTTCCATTAAACGACCCTCGTCTTTCAAGTTTAATGGAGCTTGGTTAGTTCTTTTCAAATCATGCTTCTCTTGTTTACTTCGTCAATTTATATCTTATTATCTGGATGAAAGATTAACTAATATACGTGAATCTGTATAGGCTGTTCAATTATGGAGTTGGGATACACCTTCTCGAGAACACTTCAGTGGATGCAAATATCCTCAAAGAATCGCGACCCATTAATCCCAAGGATAACCACATCTCTTTCCAAGTAAGAATTGCAGTACTTGAAAATAATCTGATTCCTCCTGGTTAATTAATCGTTTGTCCTTGAAATCTAATTGCGGAATTTAATCAAACAGTGCACAGACGTGGAAGTGGTTAAGATGAAATTGAAAGAGTGGGGAATGAAGTACGTGACTGCGGTGGTGGAGGAAGGCGGCATCAAGGTGGATCAGGTGTTCTTCCATGACCCAGATGGATACATGATCGAGATCTGCAACTGCGACAACCTCCCGGTGCTCCCTCTCTCTTCATGCCCACTACGTGTGCGTAGGCCCGATGAGATAGCTTCCCTGGCGTTTCCTCTTTCCTCATCTCCATACAGTGAGTTCAAGCGCAGTGAAATCACCTGCAAGAGTGCTGCGGTTGGGTGCGGATTGATGGAGCGTGCGATGATGATGAGCCTGAGCAAGGAGATGATGAACTTTTCATTCTAGTCTGTGAACTGTGTAAGAGTAAAACTACAATTATATAATTTGTATTACAACTATATTTAATTAAGTATGGTTCATGTTATGTTTTGGTCTCTCAGTCTTGAATCGGAGCTCGGAAGACTTGGCACAAAGTTTGTATATTCTTAATATGAGAAGAATAAATATTGAATTATTTTGGTGAATAAGTTTGTAATTATTTAATAAATAAGACCTTGTTAGTTAAAGCAGATCCATTGAGTTAGGGTTGGGTTGCACATAGGACAAGCTGCTTCCAAGGCCCAATGGGCCATTATAAATGCATGGGCTACAACTTTTCTTGTTAGGCCCAATGGGCCATTAAAAACCTATAATCATTTATTTTCTCTCTTTACAATTCAAATGCAATTTTTATTGGATTCCCCTGCCCAAAACTCTGATAGGAAGCAGCATTCTAAAATGGTGCCGCATCAGCATTGAATTGGGATCTGTTCCTCAGATAAGGCACTCACAATGACTTCACAAGCATATCTCATCGTGCACTGTGAATATCTCCCATAAATAATAACACATAAGTATGGGAGATGTTCCCAATGCACGGTGGAATGAACCTGTGAGGTCGGTGTGAGACACCATGTGTGAGGAACAGATCTGGTCTCATCACCGTTATCTCTGAATTCATATCATATCATACCAAAGAAGATTTTTTTTTTTGTGGAAAAATGGAAATGCTTAGTTCAATTCAAAAAAAAAAAAAGAAAAAAAGAAAAAATGGAAAAAATCTCTCTCTGATACCATTTCAGCAGTGCTCCAATAAAATCAGCCCATTTCTGCAGAATCAGCGTGGAAAATAAGCAGCTATATTACATAATTCCAAGAGTCCAAAAACAATCAATTCGTCCAAATTCGTCAAAAATGCTATATTTATCTATTCATCCAAGATAGTAGTCTCTTGGGTGGGTCCTATTTCGTCGTTACAAATTTGTCTTACAACAAAATATATTACATGGGAAAGGTTTGTGTGTGTTTCCATTTCAACATTGAAAAGTATTTATTGAATTGTTAATTTTCGATTTATCCAAATCAAAATTGATTTGGATGATTGGATGGATCAATAAGACGTATTAAATTGGATCAGTTAATGGTCCAAAGTATCCATTGAATTGTTAACAAAAAAAAAAGTATTTATTGAATTGGATTGGATTGGACATTTGGACCTGGTCCATCTATAATAAATTTATATTGGATTGGGTCTGATTGAACCAATATACTGTTCATAATAGATTGAATTGGACCCGATCTATCTGTAATGGACTCATATTGGACTGGATCCAATTGGACTAAATCCAGTCTAATTGACACCCCTAGTTCGAAGCATCCAAAGCCAAAAGATCTACTTATCATTATCATGTATAAGTAGTTGGTAGCAAGGGCCTATTGTTGTTGGACTCTAATCTTCGAAAATCAGATTATTTAATTTCATGCATGATTAAGAATGTTAATCTACTAATTGGATGATTAGAGGTTTATCTCTAGTAGACCTCCCTAACAAGATGAACAACAATTTGCAGAGTCCAGAAATTGAAACCATTATCCCTACAGGCAAGTTCTCACATAGGGCACTTGAATCAATGTGAATCAGAAGTCACTTATATAACCAATACTATAGTGGATTATTGGAATGACATAAATTCCAATCCTCATTCCAATAGGAAGAAGCTCCACTTAAAAAATCCCAATAACAGAAGGGGCCTCTCATTCCAATTCCAACTAGAAAACAGGAAAGGGATCTCCCATTCCATTTTGGGCTTCTACCTCGTCTATGTTTCTTTCCTCAATGAATGAAAAATTTAATTAGATGAAGGTGATTCTGCAAAATATGGCTATACAGTAGAGACCCCATCTGTGTTTAATTAATGTCTTTTCATAGAAATTTGGTATAAGAATTTGGGGATTCTATCCATAAATATGTGTAGAAGATATTAAAAATATATGCATATAAATTAAGATTTTAAAAATTATAAATATATCATGCCCCATATTTTTTTGTTTTACATTATTTTTTAATAATTCATATTATTGACACTAGTGTAAGGGGAGGTTCTATGTACATCTGCAAGTAAAAGATAATGATACAAATTACTATACAATCAAATTTAACTTTTATAACCTGCACCAAAATCAAAATAAGTATTCGCTTTATATAATATAGATATTATATGAGAGTTTAATTAGATGAATTGAGATTGCCCAAGTCATAAAACCCATGACATGATGACAACGAGAATTTCAAAAAAAAAAAAAAGCTTGGAGAAAAAGCTCTGAGGCGTGTATGAAGACATTGTCTTTAGAAAGTTATTTGCCCCAATTGATTAGTTCCACTGACTTTGTTGTTGGGTTACAGGTAAATCCGTTCTTAGGATACAACAGAGCCTTAGGCGAGAATCTACAACCAGCAAAGTTGAAGAGTCTCCGAAGAAACTTTTTGTGAGACAGAAGCAGACTGGATTGAAAGACAAAGTGATTTTCGAAAATTGTTTGTGCAATTGCTTGATTCATGCTCCTTAAATAATTTCTCAAGAGTCATGGAGCAGAAGAAGGTGCTGGTTCAGAAAATGCTCCTTGAATAGTCACAATTTCAAAAATTGTGACTATCAAAATGTAGTTAATAGTTAATGATCGTTAACTTTGAATAGTGCCTCTTGATTACACCTAATCGAATCGTGGCCGTTGAAACATCAACGGCCAGCCTCACACCAAAAGTCAATGCCGCCCTTTCGCGAGCAAAGTGCACATCTAAAGCGCCTCATTGCGCGTATGCACATTGCACGGTAACAAGCCTCCATACTCTCCTTTTTATTTCTAAGGACTGTAAATAAGCTATTATTTAAAAACTCAAAACAAGTCTTGTAATTTTTCAATGTAGAACAAGTTAAAAAACTGGTTTGAGTAAAAGAGAAAACAATTTTTAAAGACATATGTACAGATATATTTTCCATGTAATTGATCAATCAAACCCTATTAGAATGAGATTAAAATCCAACAAAAGGGTCAAATGGGTCAATGGTTATTGGGGCCAATGGATGAATGACCAAGCTAAGTGCTTTTTGTGATATTCCGGATTAATGCTTACCCGAACCAGAATTGTGGTTAGATCATTGGTCCAATTAGTGATAGGGTCAACAAACAACAATGGATTGTGAAAACAGTGCTACTTAGAAAAGGAAAAGGAAAAGAAAAAGATTGATTGGATGTTTAAAAGGAGTGAGCAAATGAAAATGGATCCTCTCTCTTGCAAAACACCCTGGTCGTATTATCCAATTGATTTGATATTTCATATATAGATATAGAAAATCAAAAACTTGAAGCTGAGGCTCACAAAACTACGGATTGATAAGGATAATTAATAAGCACCGTACTCCAAGCAGTTAAGCAGAAGCTCCCAAGGAGATGCTAACTCAGCTCTTTGGCTGGATTTTTCTATTTATCATATTTGATGAAATCTTAGAAGTTAGAACCAAAAAATAAGCAGTTGATATGCTAATGTTGGAAAAGAAACATCAAAGAAACTTCTAAGGGTCTAAGAATTTGTCAGTTAACAAGTGTGCTAATTAAGACCGAGTCCCTAGTGCCATGAAATTTAAGCCCCATCGTAGGCGTCCTTTTGGTCTAAGATAGACAGATGGAGACACTGGCAGCTTCCTTGCAATTGTGGAACATTCTCTAAATTCAACTTGTACAACATAGCTGCCTATCTATCTTTATTGTCTCTCTCCATCAGCAATTAAAACCCAAGAATTTTCCCGACAGGAAGTAGAACATTGCTTCTCTTATCACATTCATATATGGCACGTGCTATATATATAAAGTATATGTATGCATAGCAGAGCTGCACCTTCGGTCTAATGAGGCCGAAGATCAAGCAGATTCCTGGCAATTAAGGAACGCTGCTTATAGGCGGAGAAGGTGACAATATATATGCATGTGATGACAACAAAATACGTACGTGACATTCCTCTGCTTTAATTATGTGGCATAGTTAAATGGACCCATGTTTAGTTATATTCAGTGTGCACGAGTACAATCCAAAGTTAAATTAAAAACGAATAATTCAAGGGATTTTTATTTGCCTTCAAGTTATTTATCTAAGTAAATGTAGTTATTTAGATAAGTATTTCTTATTTAAGTGCAGTTAACTATGCTCTTTTATTTTTCAAATAAATAAGAAAATGATGGTTTTAGTCATATTAATTTAAAGGGACAATTTTGTCCCTTTTAAGTATTGACAACTTTCTTCTAGGTGGGAAAGTTATTTAACTAGAAGATAAGTAAGTGATACCCAGGGAAATGATTTTTTCGTGGACCCCACAAAAATCTATAAAAAGAACATCAGTATCTTGGTCAATGAAAACCAAAAATCCCATTAACTAATTTTCCCGCCTCTCAAAATCCAGAAAAACAATCAAGCCCTAGATATCAATTGATGGTCAAATTAGGGCAATGGTTTGGGCACCATGGGCCAGGCCAAGCTGGACTTAGCACTTATAATAAGGGCTATAGTCTAGGTTGGGACCTAAGACTGAAATATAAGCCAGGTCTGGAGTTGGGCTATCATTAGAGGTGTAAATTTGGTCATGCTGGGTCGGCACGACACGACCCGCATGCGGCCTATGCAAAAAGCAGGCCTTGCCGTGCCAACCCGGGTGCTGAGTTGGGCCGTGCTTTCCTCCCCTAAGACAATTTGGGGGGTCAGCCCAGCATGGCCCATAGCTGGGCCCACAAGGGTCGGTGTCGTGCTGTGAGTCTGGGCTGGGAAGGATGTAGGCCATGTCGTGGGCTCCATTCGTACCGGGCAGGGCTATGAGTCGGGCCTTGGGCTTGGGCCAAATTGGGCCAAAAAGGCCCAGACAGTTTTTGTTGTTTTTTTTTCATGACATTTTGATTTTTTTTTAATTTTGTTTTCTAAGTAAAAATAAGATATTTAACTTTCCTTTGTGAACAAATTGAGAAAAAAATTTAACAAATAAATGAAATAAAAATATTTACCAAAATACAAAATGGACAACAAATTAGAAAAATAGGAATTTTATTTCATTTAAAATATAAAAAAGTTACAAATTGAAAATAAAAAATTGCATTGTTGAAAAGATAACAAATAATTTAAATAAAATTGAAAAAATTACTCCATCTCCTTGATTTTAATCA